ATGAGCGGGCCAGCCAGGTGTCAAACTGTCAGCAGGCGAAAGGAAGTGTGAAATGCAGAATGCGCACAAATATAATAAGGCTATAAATCAATATTAAAGCACGTAAATGAAGTATGAGGAGATTAATAAATCACGTTAAGAGCATGAATGTGTAACATTATACAGTAATAAGTAGCCAAATACTGTTTTGACATACTGGAACTACTTAGGGCATCGCATTAAGGAATTATGCGTTCAGTCTTGTGTTTTTCTTCGCAAAGTAAACAAGCTCATCGACTTTGAATTTGAAAGACGGGCGCGCGTTATATTTTCATCATTTAGATGTGACTGTAAGGCCTCTGCATCTTATACCATATCCTATCCAACTCTATTTCATCCACTCTATAAGATGGCGGTGTCCAATTTGCTCTATCTACGCGCATCATTCTCTTCTATCTCTACCCCCCATTTAGAGAATAAATAGAAGATAAGAAAGGTTAGGTAACATGAAACCCTGGTTTTGGGACTTTGTCCCTAAATGGTGCATAGCTATCAGTAACAATTACCAAGCAGTTTCATCTAGTGTCGAGACCACTGACACCTTGTTTGTCACTACACATGCACAGAACACCAATCGGAGACTTTTCTGTCATAGTCACTTCCATAAAAATGAATAAAAAAAGAGAAGATACTGACCTTACTTCATACTTTAATGACAACCCCTCCCACAAGAATATCAATCAATATAATGGAAAATAAATCTGTAAACAAATATCAACATAACATATATGATCTTTATTACGCTTCACTCTTCTCATTACCATAGTTTCTTTAATTATTTCTTTCTGCCTTTCTAGTTATGGCCGTACAGATATCACCTTTCAAACTTCGCCTGTGCTACCTTCCCCGTCCACACCTCAAAATTAATTTATTTCCACATGCATATTGCAGAGCCAGGAATCTCAGTCTCCTTACTCACTTGGCCTTGCATACCTCTCAAAGACGCGGAAATAACAGCTAAGCAACGGCGGCGGCGGCGGCGGCGGCGGCCAGGGAGCCCGAGTCCCAACCCAAACATTGGTTGGCAGATGAGGAAAGCGGCGCCGCACATTTCAACGTCGGCGCGACTTTTGTAGGATATCTTTTTATCATTTATTTGTGTATCGCGCTTTATTGCTTGTTGTGGTTGTTATTAAAGTAATTAATGCTGCTTATCATCATGATTCATCTTTAGCTTCTTTTACTATTATATATTTATTAACAAATAGATTATAGTAATCCCAATAATTATCTAATGATAAGGATAATAACAATATTAAAGATAAATGTAATAATCGTCATCATAAGCTTTTTCTGTAGCATCCTTCTTATCTGCAATTTCTTACATGTAATAATCGTCATCATAAGCTTTTTCTGTAGCACCCTTCTTATCTGCAATTTCTTACAATTCTTTGAATTTTTTTGCTGCTGAATTCAAGTAATTTCAATTCGACGCTTTGCCATCACAGGCGTGCCAACCTGTCATTTCAGTTCGGGAACACGCACCTGCGACTTGCCCGCGACCCAACACCATACAGAGAGAAGGCCTAAATCTTCTTATATTTCATTTTGTAATTCTTCAATTGGCCATTTTCATTTACAGAATGTTTGAAAGATATTTTATGATCGAGCACATCTGAAATTGTTATAAGATCATGGAGGAGGCATAATGTTTATTTTTAGCCTTAGCAGAGTCATAAACGTAATACAAGTTAACATCATAGGCAGCACTGATAAATGGAAGATAATGAATCGTTCGAATCTTTTTTTACGTAGCTTATTCGTTAAACTCGTAAACGATTGTTAATTATTATTCTTAGTAAGAAACAAAAACACGGAAAATAGATATATAACATTTGTTTTTGAGATATATCAAAAAGCACATAGATGAGTAAATTGTTCAATAGTCACGGGCAGTACAATTTGATAGTGATCCTTCGAACAAAGCTCCAAAGATACTACGATATTACCATTTCTTTTGTTTTTTCAAATGATTGATAACCATTATGGTGGTAAAAGCGATCATAATAGTAAAAATGATAAATAATAACTATACAGTAATAGTAAACTATTATTATGAAACAATAATCAATCATTATATTTTTATTATCTGTATCATTAGTAATGTTATCATAATAGCATTAAGAACATTAAGTATAGATACTAATAGCTTAATTTCCTAGAACCAGTTTGTATCCAAACCCATTAGTTTTCAAGAGATTCCCATCGATATCTTTCTACTAACGAAATATAGCAGGGATATAGGATATCGATAGAAATCTTTTGATAATTGATGGGCTTGTAGATAGGTTCTAGGGAAAAAATCATATATACACGATATATTTATGATAACAGTAATAGTAATGATAATGATAATAATGACTGTTATTATTCATTATCATTATTATTTTTTTTGTTATTATCTTAATCATCAATATCATTATTATTATTTCCATAATTGGTATCATTATTATTATTATCATTATCATGATCCTTATTGCTATCAGGATTATTATCCTCCACATTATTACTATATATATCATGAAAAACATTTATATGGAAAACAAAAGAAATGGTAATGCCTTGGTATTTCCGGAGCTTTATTCGAAGGACCGCTTGCTGCCTACCACACTTTGAAGAAACTCCTATTACTGGCTGTGGCTATTCACTTCGAGTGTTTATCTGTCTTTTGATAAATCTCCAAAACACATGTAATATTTATTCTCGTAAATTCTTTTCTTATTAAAAGTGATCATACGAGTTTGATTATAGACTATTTATCCCCCAGTTCTAATGACAATGATAATGATAACAACAACAACGACAATGATGATAATATAACCATAATGAGAATAAGAAGTGTATCACACATGACAAGAGTGATAATAAAGGATGATATTATAATGATAATGATAATGATGGCAATTATAATAATGATAGAGGCGTGATGAAGATGATGAAAATGATGATAATACATGGTATTTTGACAGCTGTTAATTGGCAAGGAAACATATCCTTGCCACTTTGATATCATAGATAACACAGGGAAATTTCTGTCTCCTGGTTATTTTAACAATATCGAGTAGATTAAGTAGGTAATCACGTGTCAAGCCAGATCTAATTTCTCGCAGCACACTTTCTTTGCTCCATCTCCTTTTTGACCCGACAGTTTGTTTGATATTTCATGGAGTGTTTACTTCAGTGCTTTTGGAAAAGAAATAACAAGGGTAAAAAGAAAAAAATAGAAAACAAAGGAATTCAATAATACAATGACATAGTGGGCTACCAGTGTTAAACTATTCTATCAATGATAATACTAATAATGATACTAATAATAATGATAGTGGTAATAGTGATAATGATAATGATAATGGTGATAACAATAATGATGATAATAGTAAAAATAAAATTTGTATAGAAAAATAATCGTAACAATAAAATATGTAGAGAAACTGTAGACTAAAATGTATATAGAAAAAAATAGCAATAATGATAATGTTGATTCTAATAATGATAACGATAAAAACAATAATAGTAATAATAGCAGTGATGATAAATTGAAAACACTAACAACAATAAAAAAATAATCCAAATGAAAATGATAATGATGATAATGAAAATTACAATGATTATTATCCTGATAACAAGCGCTCGCGCGGAAAGGCATCTATTACATATATCCCATAATAATTGTTGTTATTTTTTCATTATCATGGTTGCTGTTGTTTTTATTGCAAGTATTATTTCTATTACTGTTTATGATTATGATTAAAGTTATTCTTCTTATTATTATTATTATCATTATCATTATTATTGCTGTTATTGTTATTGCTGTTGTTTTTATTGTTTTAAGTTCTATTTCTATTATTGTTTATGATTATGATTATAGTTATTCTTATTCTTATTTTGTTATTATTATTATTATTATTATTATTATTATTATTATTATTATTATTATTATTATTATTATCATTATTATTATCATCATTGTCATTATCATTATCATTGCTGTTATTGTTATTACTGTTGTTTTTATTGTATTATTTCTGTTATCGTTTTTTATTATAATTATAGTTATTCTTATTATTTTATTTTCATTATCATCATTATTATTATTATTATCATTATTATTATTATTATCATCTTCATCATCATTATCATCATTATCATTATTATTTTTATTGTTATTAATTATTATTATTATTATTATTATTATTATTATTATTATTATTATTATTATTATTATTATTATTATTATTATCATTATTATTATTATCATTATTAATGCTATTATTGTTATTACTAACATCATTATCTTTATTATTATCATTGTTATCATTATTAATATAATTGTTATCATTATCATTAATATGATTATGATTATTAAACAATATCAATAGTAACAACAATGATAATAATGATAATGGTAATCATTATTGTTGGGTAGGAGAGGGGGCTCAGAGGGGAAAAGGGGAATGGGGGAGGTAAGAAAGGGAGTAAGGGAGAGAAGGAGAATGCTACAGACGAAGAGGGAAGTGGGAGGGACAAATGTAGGGCTTACAGTGGGATAAGGAGTGAATTTAAGGACGATTTAGGAGTGAGAGGGGATACCAGAACGGGAAAGAAGGAAGAGGGTGAAAATAGGGAGATAAAAGAGGAAAAGTACTTCTTAATTATTTCCTTCCTTAGAATTTTACGAATTCCACTACCATCAAATATATAATAAGAGCGATGATTGCATGCACAGGAAAGTACTGGCAAAGTGGCGGCAATCTGGCCCTGCGCGAGACATATGTGTCGGATGAGAGGAGAGTCGGAATTGAAGGAGACAACAGATATTTTTTTTTACAACCTTTCAAGTGATTTAGGGGACTAAGATATTCAACGACAGCTACTGAAAAGGAAGGAAACTATCGCTGCGGCAGAGTTGATTACTAGTAGGTTGAACAATGTCTTATTTTATGTTTTTACAATTTTAGAAGGGAAAGGAAGAGGAAGGTCGGGCCAGTAAGAAGCTGGCCAATTGGCTCCCGTTCGGGCCCGGGTTTGCAGGGATTTCATACCCAGAAATTGCGGGTGGTGTTAGAACAGTGGATGGTTAGTATTCACCTGGATTACTTCTAAGCTAGTAGAGGCAGTTACAGTGTGATTTTGGAAAAAAATCTTGATTATGGGAACAGCCTGAATGTTTTCAATTTACAGTTTTAACCTAGCCTCTCTTGACCCTTTTATTCCTAAGGAATGTAGGTTGCGATTTGTAATACATTTGGATTTTTGAACAAAAAGTGTCAGAATTAGGTTTAGTTTCAGTTTCACAGAGCCGAATGGCACAAGACAAACTTTACTTGTAATGGATAGAACACCAGATAATATGGTAGAGGTTGAAGAGACCGATGCATGTAGATAGAGCAAAATAGAGCAAAATGGAAACCGCCTTCTTATAGAGTGGAAGAAATAGAGGTAAATTTTTTTATTATGACAATCGGGACTTCCCAGACAATATTTATATTATCAGATTTATTCTCATGTGATGAGAATGAATCTGATGATCATTTCTGTAGCAATCACAGTCAACGATCTTGATGTGTTAAGTCCAGTTAGCAGGGGAGGGCATGGAGTATATCAGGGAAATTATGGGGTAAAACAGGCTTAAATAAGAATATTAGCGAACCGAAATGTGTAAAACTAGCACAAAAAATGCTAAAAATCGGCTAATGAAACTCTACGGACATGCCCGCCATCTTTGAGTTAAAAAAAAAAAAAAAAAAATACGGTAATCCAACCCAGCTTTCGGCAGAATCTACGGAATTTCACACCTTCCAAACCCCCCAAAAACGCCCTAACCCATAACCCAACATAACGTAGCAATTTATGGTGCCGTGACTAGGTGTGCCTGATTGCTCGAGGGGAGAGATGATAGGGGACAAGCCCCCCAACACCCCACGGGACGCATTCTCTTTACCCTGGTATGTACGGCAAGATAGAGCTACATCCATACTGTAAACAATAACCAAATACCTTTATATGTCGAAAGGCCGAATTGTCAATTTTCCTTCGCTTCTTTCGATCAGTCGGTCGGTCTATTGTGGATGTGATCGCTTCATTATTATCACTTTTTTCAGTATTTGGGATATTTGATGGCCTCAGAAATCAAACTGCGATAGTTAGTAAGGTCTTTTTCTTCTTTGTTTCCACTGTATAGTCTTAAGAACAACCTAGAATCGATGAAACATCAAAAACGAAACATTTCTCACTGGTCTCTTGTCACTGGACTGGCCAGGAATCGTCTTGGTAAACCTGGCGGAAGAAACGCAAAAATGCGCCTGCGCAGAAGGTGCTTCAGACCAATTTCCTTAAATCACTGTCTAATAAATCATGAAACATGAAAATGACGTATAACAACATTAACAAAGGGCAAGAATGAGTTGAATGGTCACAATTTTGTTTACATTCACGATGTCAACATAGCGAGGGACTTAGAAAAAGAAAGGTCGATCTTCTCTCTTCTCTGTCGTGTAACTCCTTTATTTTCGATTTGCGCACCTCATGCCATAGATAAAAAGTGTCTCAGTTTACGTCAAGGTAACCATTCCACAACTTTTTCTTTAACTCAATTCCTGATTGTTATCCACTGTAAATTTACCGAAATGGAGTGGGATAGGATATAGTTTAAGATGCAGAGGCCTTACACTCACCGTTAAATGACAGAAATATAAAGTGCGCATGCCTTTCAAATCCTAAGTCAATGAGCTTGTTTTACCTTGCGAAGAAAAACACAAGACTGAACGCATAACTCCTTAATGCGATCCCCTAAGTAGTTCCAGTATTACTACGCACATGTCAAAACAATATTTGGCTACTTATCAGTGTATAATGTTGCACATTCATGTTCTCAAAGTGTTTTATTAACGTCCTTATACTTCGTTTACGTGTTTTAAGATTGATTTATAGCCTTATTTAGATTTGTGCACATTCTACATTTCACACTTCCTTCCTGGGTTATTCTTCAGGCTATACAGCGATAAGGAAGATAAAATAGACTTCAGTAACGATCCCAGTTTAATATGTGGGCCCACCAAGAACTCCAAATGCAAAAAAAAAGTTATTAAAATTGAAGCAATCCAGACAGTAGAAGGAAGCGAACGAAAGTTTGATGGTTGCAGATATAAAGGTATTTGATTTATTATTTTACTATGTGAATGCAGCTCTATCTTGCCATGTATACCGAGGTGTAGAGAATGTGTCCCAGGGGGTGTTGGGGGGCTTGCCCCCATCAACCCTCCCCTCGTTAGGGCATGCCTAGTCATGGTAATTTATATTAATATATTAGGTGGGTTTATTGGTCAATACGTGTTTGGGGGGGTTTAGAATGTGTGAATTCCTGTAGAGTTTTGCTGAAAAGTGGGTTGGGTTCCCATAGAGTTTTTGATTTCTGGCGTATCAGTCCGTAGAATTTCAAAGATGGCGGTTATATCCATAGAGTTTCATTGGCTGATTTTATGCATTTTTTGTGCTAGTTTTACGCATTTTTTATCTTTATTCTTCTTATTTAAGCCTGTTTTACCCCATAATTTCTCTCATATACTTCATGCCCTCCCCTGCTAATGGGACTCTTAAATCTATCTCTAGAACAATTCATTTGCTGAAGAAACAACTCCAAAAATCGATGAAATCATTGGATTTCCTGCAGAAAAACATCTATTTTTTTTCGACTTAGTCTCTGAGAGGGTGCGTCACTCTCTGTAATGATTACTGAAAATAAGACTTTTCCTCTATGATATTTCCTTCATAAGTTGATAGTAAGAAAGTTGGGTATAAGTTGCTGAGGTTGATGTATGGAGATAGAGGGAACTGGACACTACCATCTTTTAGAGCACAAGAAATAGAGTAAGATACGACATAGTTTAAGGTGCAGCGGCCTCATTGTTACAGGTAAATAAAGAAAATGTCCGCTGCATATCATAGCCCCCTTGGGTTAATGGGAGGACCATCGGCAGTGTCACGGATAATTGGAAATGCTGGAGGATGTCAGGGTGGGGCATTGGAACATCCGCTCTTTTTGTAAGGATGATCGGTTGCCCATACTATTGAGGGAACTGGGGAGGCTGAGAGTTGGGGTGATTGCTCTCTCAGAGGTGAGAAGACCTGGCAGCGGCATGATCAGTGTAGGTGGCTACACTTATTACTGGTCAGGCCACAGTGATGGTCACCATCTTCAGGGAGTCACTGGAGGTCACTCCAGTTGATGAGCGTATAATGGTAAAGAGACTGAAGCTGCCATTTGGCAACTGTGCAACAGGACCAAGCTACGGGTTTTCAGGGCCCTGATAATGCCAGTTTTGCTGTACGGTAGTGGAACCTAGACATTATCCAGTGCCCTGGAGTCCCGTCTTGATGCCTTTTGCAGTAGGTCCTTGCGCCGGATCATGTGGTACAGTTGGCGGGACCATGTGTCCCACCAACGGTTGCACCGTGAGACTGGCACAGGACCTGTTACCTGCACAAATCCGGGATCGCCAACTCAGGCTATATGGCCGCCTGGCTTGCTTCCCACAGGCTGATCAGGTTGTCTCTGTAAGATACAACTCTGGGTGGAGGAGGCCTGTGGGACGACCTAGGAGGTCGTGGCTTGGGCAGATTGATCAAACTTGTCGTGAGGAGCACGAGATGGGCTGAGTCCCTGCCTGGTGGCTTGCCATGATGGATCCCCTGTCAGCGTTAGCTCCTAATGATGAAGATGATATCACAGCTCAGAGAGAAGACTAAGTCCACAGCACCCTGATACAGCTAGAGTTCTTTGTTTATGTCTACATTTTCTACAGGTTTGTTTTCTGTATATGCCACAGTTTCTGTTAATCTATTTTCTTTGACCCCATGTCGCCAGGCATGACATGTATAGATATGCCATACCCGATAATATGTGTTGAATTTAATAATAGTTTTTACATATAGATGGCTTCACAAGTACTAAGTCACCAATGATCCAATTACGCAAATGACCTGTCCCATGTTTACCCTTTTCCTTGATTTTTGATAATATTTTATAGTATTTCATACTGCTGTTAGTTATGTCAGTAACAATATTGTAATTATAATGTTTGTAACAAAAATTTGTGTCAGTATTGATAGCATTAGTAAAAAGTGAGGAAAAGTGAGGTCGCAAGATCTACTGATTGACTCCTTTGAGGGTAAGCATTGGTAGAGCCATCTATGTGCAGAAACGTTAAGGTGAGGGGGGGGGCAAGGGGTCAAATTGAGTTAGCTAGTGTATAGTATAGGTACATGGATGAGGAAACTACCAAATGAGTATTAAGCGCCTGCTATGGGTCATTTTCTTGCAGCCGACGGGAGAGCCCCTCAGCACCTGGGGAGGTATGTCGCTAATGAGCACCCAGGTACACCTATGTGGACTTCTGCTTGCTGCAATCGTGCATACGGCATTTAATTATGACATTGCGCATAGATATGAGGTCATGAATGTTCATGGAAGGCTTTTATACCAATATCAGGAAAAAATTATATCACCGTGATTTATGACGAAATATTTTATGAAATATATTTAAAAAAAAAAGAAAGTTTTGTCCTTTTACACATGAAATATGCTTCGATTGAGACTCCCTGGTAATATGTTTTAGTTTACGAGGTAATATGTAAGTATATTACATACGAAGCACTAATGTTTGAAAATAGCTTATAAGTAAGGTTTGAAAAATTTCCGTTACATTTCGCTCAATGGTCGGTACATCTCAGCATGGGGAAATTTGAATTGATTTGAAATTGGTAGTTAAAGTTGTAAAGACCAATTCTGTATGAATGTTACCTAATTGTTGGATTTTTGAACTTCGGATGTATAAGCGAGATACAGATTATATGGAATTTTGTGCTCGGCTGCTTGCGCACTCTTCGTCTAGCGTTCAAAAAGCTATTGCATTTGTTTCCTGTGTTCCCGATAAAAATCAATATGTTTAGATGTTACCGTAGGTCTTAGGTACCATAAATTCGCAAATATCCCACAACACCTAGGCGTCTACATGATTTTATGCACTTCTTAGTAAAGATAATGGGTGCAAATGGCAAATCATAAACTCTACACTTGT